GACTGAGGGCTGCTGGGAGCAGGGGGGCGGGGCTTGTTGCATGTGCCCGCCCCCCGGGCTCTTTACTGCCGGAGCTCCGCTCCTGTGCGCTCCTGCAGGAAACGACCCCTGCCTGCGCCCATTTGCCCTCCCCCGCCGGGCTCCCCACCTTCAAGGCGAGGTTTCCAACCTCGGGCCCCAGTGCTTCCTGGTAGGGAGAGTCGGCCTTCTCTATCACGTGGATGCTGAGGGCTTTGCTCGACAGGGTGGCAGCCAGCTCCATGCCTGCAAGCAGAAGGCAGAGATGCTCTCGCGGTGATGCTGCTGTGCCTCACCTCTCCCAAGGCTCAGGGCCACCCAGGTGAGGAGCTGGGCAAGGGGGGGGAAGAGGCCATTTGCTGCCTGCTTGCCAGCCCCTTCTGCCCAAGGGAGGCAGGCTCTCCAGGCTCTCCCGGGGGGGGGGCGGACGAGACACCTCTCGAGCGTCGAACTCATTTGTTATGAGGGCCGGATCGTACATAACGGAGGCCTTGTTGGGCCGGGCCGCGTGTGTCATTAAATGCAAAGCCAGGTAGCGGAGATGTAAACTTTATAAAGGACACAAAACACAAAGGGTTTTAACTTAAAACAAAAACATGCTTAAAACATTAGCTCTGTAAGCTGCAAACCCACTTTTGACTTATTGACATTCACCACAGAGATCTCACGCTCACAGTTCTGAGTCGAGGACCCAGGTTAAAACATGAAATGGCTGAGTGATTAAGAGAGTCTGGCGAAGCAAGCTATGATGCAGCAGCAGCAGCAGAACTGGAAGCAGGGGATGGCCAGTTCCACTGCGGGCCTGATGGAAGCCCTCTGGGGGGCCTGATCCGGCCCCCGGGCCACATGTTTGACACCCCTGCTCTAGTGGATACCAGCAGCCTGAACCCTTCCCTTGTGCCCCCCCCCCCCCCGAAGGTTTCTTTTCCTACCGATGAACGATGCTCCAACGATCACGACCCGCTTGCCGGATGCCAACTGCAGGATCCTGTTGGCATCTTCTGGAGTCTGGAGATAACACACGTTCTGGAGTTTGATGCCGGGGGTCTCGAGTCGCCTGGGGCTGACAAAAGAGGACTTGGCTGGCATGGGCGTGCTCGAGGAGGGGGCAAGCCCAGCGAGTGCTAGGGGCCATCATGTGCCTAGGATGGGAGCCAGCCAGAACCCTGGGAGGTTGCCAGCAATGCAGCCTGCGTGAGCTTCCTCGCCATTGGCCTCCCTTGGGTCACGTGACTGGTGGGATTGGAAGCCAACCGGCACTCACCCTGCTGCATACATGGGGTAGGGAGGGAAAGTGGAGCCCAGCCCAGGCCAGGATCCCTCCTGCACTGGCGGCCCCTCTCAGTCCCCCCACATGTGCTCATTCCTTCAGCTTAGGGTTGCCAGCCTCCAGGCGGTGGCTGGAGATCTCCCGGAATCACACCTGCTCTCCAGGCAGCAAAGATCAGTTCACCTGGAGGACATGGCCGCTTTGGAAGGTGGACTCTATGGCATTATCACATCATCACAGAGTCGGCAGGGGCCACACAGGCCGTCTAGTCCAACCCCCAGCTCAACGCAGGATCAGCCCTAGAGCATCCCTGACAGGTGTTTCTCCAGCCGCTGCTCCAAGACTGCCAGCGAGGGGGAGCTCACCACCGCCCTAGGTAGTGGATTCCACCGCTGAACAACTCTGACTGTAAAATGGTTCTTCCTAAGATCCTTGAATTTCAACCCATTCTTGCAAGCCCTCTCCTCTGCTGCCAACAGGAACAGCTCCCTGCCCTCCTCTACGTGACAGCCCTTCAGATACTTTAAGAGAGCCATCATGTCCATTGTATAATTTCAATTGTACCCCCTTGAAATCCCTCCCCTCCCCAATCCCTGCTCTTCTCAGGCTCTGCCCCCAAACTCTCCAGGTAGTTCCCAGTGCAGAGCTTGGCCACCCTGCCCCAGCTTTTGGCCAAAGTACTGGGCCCGTTACTATAGCAGGGGAGCTGAGGAAGAGAGTGAATGCCAGTACTGGGGCAGGGTGGCACAGCTGGGCTGAGACCCTTGGGGCACAACCCATCTTTTGGCAGAGACAGAGAGGCCACCTTGGCTCGCAGAAGGGACCCCTCCCCATCTTGGGGGGTGGGTGGGAGGGAAGGCTCACTTACTCGCTGCCCGTAGCAATGAGCAGGTGGTCGTAGGCCTGGTCGGACCCATCACGGAAATGTGCCGTCTTGTTGGAGGTGTCTAGAGAAACTACCTGCAGCCACAAAGAGAGAGAGAGAGGGGAGAAATGGCAGAGCCTCCCAAGTCTGTGCCTGGGCCTGCACAATACGATGGGCCCTTAGCTCCTCCTAGCCAGCTTTTTGACCAAAGTTCTGAAGGATTTGGAGAGAGCCGGTGTTCCCTCTAAGATGAGTTAGTGTGAGCTAGCTCACAGTTTTTTAAGCCTCCAGTTCACACAGTTTTGACTTAGCTCAGGAAGGAGGGCTCCAAAGCAAACAAAGTTATGCAGTAGCCAAATTGCTCACTCACAACTTTAATGGCAGTAGCTCACAAAGTAGAATTTTTGCTCACAAGACTCCACAGCTTAGAGGGAGCATTAGAGGGAGCACAGTGTTGGCTACCCTGGATCAGGCCCGTGGTCCATCAAGCCAGCTCAAGGGCCCCAAGTAAAGCACAGAGGCCAAAGCCTCCCCTTGCCCTGTTATTGCCCCCTGCAATGGGCTTTCCAAGGAACACTGCCCCAGAACATGGAGGCTCCACCTAGCAATCATGGCTAATACCCCTTTATGACCCTCTCCTCCATGAGCCCATCTAATCCTTTTTTTTAAAAAAGCCACCTAAACTGGGTGATGGATCCCGTCATTTCTTTCTTTATTTCTATGCCGCCTCTCCAGGGAGCCTGCCTAGTGGCTTTCCAAATAAAAGATAATGAAAGCATCATAAAAAGTGATGAAAACCCAACATTCAGAACACAGCAGGGCACAAAACAACAAAAATCACGGAGCACCTTAAAACAGGTCTTAAAACATTTGTCATGCTAAAGACAGACTATAAAACAACATGTGATAAAAAAAACCCCAACAGACTCTTAAATAAAAGCCTGGGTGAACAGAAACAGTTTGGCGCCTAAAAGAGAGCCGCATAGGCACCGGGTGTTCCGACAAATGGGCGGCCAGCGCGGCTCTTTCAGCACTGGAGTGATACGATCCCTGTATCTCACCCCTGACAGTTGCCTAGCTGCAGAGGTCATTTCGGGGGGGGGGGGGGACGGGGGGGCAGCACCCCCGGGTGAGGGACGGGGGGCGGTGAACATGACGAAGCCCCGCCCCCTGCTTCCGGCTGCCCCACTTCCAGCCCTCATTCAGCCAGGAGGAGGCAGGAGAAGAGGGAGGGTAAGTTGCTTCCTCCCTGCCTCTCCCCACCCCTGCCTGCCTGGGGCCAGGGAGGGCCTTCGCGGGGCTTCCTTGCACTCCCGCCGGCCTTGCAGGTCCACCACCAGGCCCCTGATGTCAGGGGGTGTGGCATATGCTAATGAGTTATGCTAATGAGTTCCCCTAGCTCTTTATCTACGAAATGACCCCTGCCTGGCTGCCACATTTGGCACTAGTGGAATTTTCCAGGCCATTTTCAAAGGCAGAGCCACATTGAGTGAAGTACAGTAAATCGAACCTGGATGTACTCAGAGCATGAATCACCACGGCCAGATCACACTTTTCAAATAATGGTCATAGCTATCAGCCAAAGAAGAGAAAAGACACTACATGCAACGGAGGAGATCTGGGCCTCCCGCTGTAGGCCAGGATCCAGGAGCACCCTCAAGCTATGAACCTGCTCCTTTAGGTGGGGGAATAAGGTTGCCAGCGCTAGGCTGAGAAATGCCTGGAGATTTGGGGGATGGAACCTGAGGAAACGGGCAGCTGTCACTCTTCCCAGCAGGGAGAGAAAGAGCGTCTGGTAAATAACATGTCGTTAAGCCTCTAGGTACCACTTCAGTGGGAAGGTAACAGCGTTCCGTGCGCCTTGGTGTTTAGTCATGCCGGCCACATGACCACGGAAACGTCTTCGGACAGCGCTGGCTCTTCGGCTTTGAAACGGAGATGAGCACCGCAACCCTAGAGTCGGATTCGACTGGCTTTTGTGCAAGGGAACCTTTACCTTTACTTTAAAGGACAAGACATGCCCCCTTGAGGCATCTGGCAACCCTATACCAGCATCATGTGTGTAAAGCATGGTTGCCAACCTCCAGGTGGTGGCTGGAGATCTCCTGGGTGAGATCAGGTCACCTGGAGAAGATGGCTGCTTTGGAAGGTGGACTCTGTGGCATTATAGCCCAATAGAGTCCCTCCCTTTCCCAAACCCCGCCCTCCTCAGGCTCCACCTCCAAAGATGGCTGCTTTGGAAGGTGGTCTCTATGGCATTATACCTCATTGAAGCCCCTCCCCTTCCCAAACCCTGCCCTCCTCAGACTCCAACCCCAAAATCTCCAGATATTTCCCAGCCTGGAGTTGGCAACAGCAGTGTAAAGTGACATCAAGTTGCAACTGACTTAGCAATGTTCCCTCTAAGCTGTGGAGTCTTGTGAGCAAAAATTCTACCTTGTGAGCTACTGGCATTAAAGTTGTGAGCAAGCAATTTGGCTACTGTATAAATTAGTTTGCTCTGGAGCCCTCCTTCCTGAGCTAAGACAAAAATGTGTGAGCCGGAGGCTACAAAACTGTGAGCTAGCTCACACTAACTCAGCTTAGAGGGAACACTGATGGCAACCCAGTAGGGTCTCTGAGGCAAGAGGTGTTCAGAGGTAGTTTGCCACTGCCTTCCTCTGCATAGCAACCCGGGGATTCCCTGGTGGTCTCCCATCCAAGTACTCATCAGGGCTGACCCTGCTCAGCTTCCAAGGTCTGTTTGGTGCAGTGGTTAAGTGTGCAGACTTTAATCTGGGAGAACCGGGTTTGATTCCCCACTCCTCCACTTGCACCTGCTGGATGACCTTGGGCAAGCCATAGTTCTGTCAGAGCTGTCCTTGAAAAAGAGCCGTTTCTGTCAGAGCTCTCTCAGCCCCGCCTCCCTCACAGGGTGTCTGCTGTGGGGAGGGGAAGGGAAAGGAATTTGCAAGCCTCTCTGAGACTCCCTTGGATAGTGAAGGGCGGGGTATAAATCCAATCTCCTCTTCTCCTCCGATGAGATCGGGCTGTCCTGAGCCATCCAGGTCTGGGCTATCAGTCTCTTCCCCAGGAAAAGTTTAGGAGTCAGAGAAAGCAACTGCAGATAGTCTTTCTGTGCAACGCTCATGTCTTGTTGCGGCTCTTTCTGTAGCAGGAGCTCCTTTGCATATTAGGCCACACACCCCTAGTGTAGCCAATCCTCCAAGAGCTTACAAAGCTCTTCTTACAGGGCTACTGTAAGCTCTTAGAGGATTGGCTACATCAGGGGTGTGTGGCTTAATATGCAAAGGAGCTCCTGCTACAAAAAGAGCCCTGCGCCCCTTGCCAACCTCCGGGTGGCCCCTGGAGATCTCCCGCTGTTACAATTGATCCCCAGGCGACCAAGATCAACCCCCCTGGAGAAGATGGCTGCTTTGCAGGGTGGGTTCAATGGCCTTGTACCCTGCTGAGGACCCTACCCTCTCCAAACCCAGCACTGCCCAGGATCCACCCCCCAAATCTCCAGGTATTTCCCAACCCTGAGCTGGCAACCCTACTTCCTAAAGAACCTCCTTTCTTAAAGGGTTAGGAGCCAACAGTACTTAATACAAAAGACAAATTCCAAATAAAGTACACCAATCTTCTGTATAAGATGCTCCAAGAGAGCACTTCAAAAAAGTGAAAGTTCCACTGAAGCCGGCCGTGTATAGGTGCTACTCACTCCCTTAAGGTGGAACTTTTGTTTTCCTGTGGAACTTTCACTTTTTTTAAGCGTCTGCTCTCCTGAAGCATCTTATACAGAAGATCGGTGTACTTTATTTGGAATTTGTCTTTTGTATTAAGTACTGTTGGATCCTAACCCTTTAAGAAATTATAAGAGTGTTTGCATTGGAGAAATAGTTGAACTGTTAAGAATTGTTTAAATTGTCTTGGATAATCAGGGCTATTTTTGGGCAGGAACGCACAGGAACGGAGTTCCGGCTGGCTCCCAAGTTGGCCACGCCTAGCAGGAGCTCATTAGCATAACAGGCCACACCCAACAGCAGAAACTCATTAGAATTGGCTACATTGGGGTGTGTGGCCTAATATGCAAAGGAGTTCCTGCAACAAAAAAAGCCCTGGGTTTTGACAACAAACAAGGTAAAAACAGAATAAGAAGCAAAAGGTGGGTGTGGCTGGATGACCACACTTCTGGTAACATGGGAATGCGCCCTAATATGCTAATGAATGGTGCAGTCAGGGGGTGTGGCCTAATATGCTAATGAGTTTCTGCTGCTGGGTGTGACCTGTTATGCTAATGAGTTCCTGTTGGACTTTTTCTACAAAAAAAGCCCTGTGGATAATATACTCTTTCTACTTCTGTTCGTAAATTATTCATGGAGTGTTTGTGTTTTGATACAACGAGCTCTCTTTTGGATATACCACCTGGAGGTTGGCAGCTCTCCTGCTGACTGACTGCTTTCTGGAGGGGAGAGCAGGGATAGGATTTAATGCCCCCAGAGCGACCTAGGCCTTCTGGCACACACCAATCTTCACCATAGCCCCCTTTGCCACAAAGCTCAACATTCACCTCTTTTTCCCTCCAGACTTCTATGTCGTGAGCATCCAAGAAGCTCTGAGACCGCAGGTAAAGGCTCTCTGCCTTGGCTGCCATGTCCTGCAAGTGGCAAAGAAGCCCATTTTATGCCTGGGAAAAAAATCATAGTTCAGAACAAGCAGACAAGCCTTGGGAAAGGAGACTTTTTGAGCCAACGGGAAGCGCCACTGGCACACAAGATGTGCCAGCATGCTCAGGAGCATGCACTAGAGGAGAGCACGAGCAAGCAACAGTCTGCCCTGCATGCACAGAACTCCTGCGTTCCTCCCCATCCCATTGGCCAAGGCCCACCCTACTGGACCTTGCTGAGCTGTGTCTTATCATAGGGCAAGTGCTTTTCCCTCGTCACCATGAGGATCCGACCCTTGAAGCCCTCCTGACGAAGTGTCTCAGCACACGTTAGTGCCGCCGGCCCTAGAAGGGAAACATGCAACTGGTGATCCCTGCCGTGGTTCTGGTGGGCAGAAGCTGGAGCAGCAGCTTCAGACTGAGGAGGGGAAGCCTTGATATCGGGACCTCACCTGCTCCCAGGAGCAGCACCACCTGCCTGGCAAGTGGGCTTCGCTGGCTCATAGGTTTCACCTTGCCCTTGCTTGCGAGGTCCTATGGGAAGGAAAGCAAGGAAAGTACAAAGCCATCTCAGGCCAGGTAGGTTAAAAACATCAGGCCTGCTGGATCCAACCAGGGGTCCATCTGGTCCAGCATCCTGTCTCGCACAGTGGCCATCCAACACAGTTTGAGTCCAGTGGCACCTTTAAGACCAACAAAGTTTTTATTCTGGGTACAAGTGTCAGACTCCTGCAGCAATCAGTTCCCAACAGCTTTCATTCAAAGAAGCAAAGTTTATTGAGACATTGAGAGTATGCAGGTATCTTAACCATTTCGTGTTAGAACTGAAGAAAAGCGTGCACAGGAAACAGATATACATTATTCAAGGAGGCCTCCTGATGACCCAGGACCACTCAGGGCTACTTTTCTCAAGAGAAAGCCTACACCAGGCACTAAAGGTCATACAGAGATAACAGAAACACAGGAGACACAGCAGAAATGAAACTCAACATTCCAGAGTCACCCCCACTCCCCTGGCAGCCAGGGCTTCAGAAAGGCCTAGATGACAACACGCGTCTGTGTGCAGGCACACACTCTTCAGATAGATTGCAACAGAAGTCACCAGCCATTACATACAGGTAGAGGGAGGGGAGGGTGTTGCCAGGAAGGGTTAATTAGAGTCAAGATGCATACGTGACTGAGCAATAGATATAGCTAAGATTGGATTAAGACAGTAGAAACCTGTATCTTCAGCAGTGACTCACAAAAGCGCCTACCCTGCCAAAAAATCTGCTAAGTCTTTAAGGTGCTACTGGACTCTGGCTCTTTTCTACTGCTACAGACAGACTGACACGGCTACCCGTCTTGACCTATCTCCTTGGATTAAGGCAGCTGGTAAGACCTGCGAATAGCAGCAAATCAGCATACAGCAACCAGTTACTCTGGAAGGCCAACAAGGTACAGAGGCCGACACCTCCCCCTGAAGTTGTCTTGTCCCATCCCCCCCCCCCCCCCCCCCAGTAAGAAAGCATGTCTTGGAGAGGTCCATACCTTCAGGCTGGCAGTGATGAACACCTTTCCATCTTCCACTGTCACCTGCAAAGACCAAACTATTATATGGGGGGGAGAATTTCACAAAATACTGCCACTTTCACACACACACACATTTCTGTGGTTCCTGCTTGCCATGTTCCCCAAGGCAACTCTGCTGCCTTTGGCTTGCACACCTACACAGCACCGTTGGCCCCCCTGCCAAGCTTTGTTTCACCAGCCCCTGGTCCCTCACAGAGATGACATTCCTGGCCAAGGCACAGCTTTCCCCACCAGCACTATGTGTGTATTTAATTCGTTTGTGCCCCGCCTACCATGTTAGAAAGTAAAGTGGAATCTGCATCAAGAGCAACTGGGAGAAAGAAATCATTGGGGGTGATCAACAGAGTTATTCCAAGCCACAGAGTCCCTATACACATGAAGCTGCCTCATACTGACTCAGACCCTTGGTCCGTGCTCCTTCTAAGCCGTGGAATCTTGGGAGCAAAAATTCTACTTTGTGAACTACTGGCAATAAAGTTGCGAGCAAGCAATTTGGCTACTGCATAAATTAGTTTGCTCTGGAGCAATGTTCCTTCTAAGTTGTGGAGTCTTGTGAGCAAAAATTTTGCTTTGTGAGCTACTGGCATTAAAGTGGTGAGTGAGCAATTTGGCTGCTGCATAAATTAGTTTGCTCCAGAGCCATCCTTCCTGAGCTAAGACAAAAATGTGTGAGCCAGAGGCTAAAAAACTGTGAGCTAGCTCACACTAACTCAGCTTAGAGGGAACACTGCTCTGAAGCCATCCTTCCTGAGCTAAGACAAAAATGTGTGAGCCGGAGGCTAAAAAACTGTGAGCTAGCTCACACTAACTCAGCTTAGCGGGAACACTGCTCTGGAGCCATCCTTCCTGAGCTAAGGCAAAAATGTGTGAGCCGGAGGCTAAAAAACTGTGAGCTGGGTCACACTAACTCAGCTTAGAGGGAACACTGCTCTGGAGCCATCCTTCCTGAGCTAAGACAAAAATGTGTGAGCTGGAGGCTAAAAAACTGTGAGCTAGCTCACACTAACTCAGCTTAGAGGGAACACGGCTCTGAAGCCATCCTTCCTGAGCTAAGACAAAAATGTGTGAGCCGGAGGCTTAAAAACTGTGAGCTAGCTCACACTAACTCTGTTTAGAGGGAACACTGTCAGTATTGTCTACACAGGGCTGTTTTTTGGGGGAAAGAGGTGCCGGACCTCTGAAGAGGGAAATACAGTTTTCAATCTGTATACTGAAAACTCATGAACTTTAAAACGTTTTAAAAAGAATTTTGTCGAGGAGGTTCTGGAACTCCGTTCCGGTGCATTCCCCCAGAAGAAGGAAAAAAGCCCTGTGTCTACTCAGGCTGGCAGTGACTCCCCATGGCCTTTCACATCACCTGCTGCCTGATCCTTTCTAATTGGAGATGCCAGGGATTGATCCTGGGACCTTCTGCGTGCCAAGCAGATGCTCTGCTACTGAGCCACGTTCTCTCTCCTCCATCAAAATCTTAACAAGAATATGCCAAATGAATATGGAAAACAAAACAATGGCCCACAGACTGGAAACAATCTACATTCCAATTCTGAAAAAAAGAGACATCAAAGACTGCAGCAACTATCGAACCATTGCGTAAATTTCTCACTTAAGTAAAGGGGGGCTCAAAATCTTACAACAATGTTACCATATATGGAATGAGACTTGTCAGATGTTCAAGCTGGATTTAGAAAAGGAAGAAGCGCTAGTGATCATATTGGAAATTTCCGTTGGTTACTGGAGCATATGAGAGAATTTCAGAAGAACAGCTTGTATTCTCCATAGATTTTGACTGAGTAGATCATGAAAGGGTATGGTTGGTTTTAAAAGAAATGGGTGTGCCACAACAGGTGATTGTTTTGAGGTGCAACCTGTACTCAGTACAAAAGGCTACTGTTAGGACAGAACATGGAAAAACAGAATGATTTCCAACTGGCAAAAGTGTCAGACAAGGATGTATTTTATCTCCATGTCTCTTCAGTCTGTATGCAAAACATACAAGAAAAGCTGGATTAGGTTGAGACGAAGGTGGAGTGAAAAGTGGTGGGAGGAACATGTCGACATCACATTGCTAGCGGAAGAGAGTGAAGACTTGAAGCAACTATTGATAAAGGTTAAAGCAGGAAAGTGCCAAAGATGGATTACAGGTGAACATCAAGAAGACAAAAGTAATGACTGCTGGGGAATTATAGTACTTTAGGATTGCCGACAATGACATTGAAATTGTTCAAGATTTTTTTACTCCTTGGCTCCATCATCCGCTAAAAGGGAGATGTCAACGATGAAATCAGAAGGAGACTGGGAAAGGCAGCCATGAAGGAGTTAGAAAAGGTCATGAAGTGTAAGGATGTGTTGCTGGCAACCAAGATCAAGATAATTCAAATCACAGTATTCCCCATTACTATATATGGATGTGAAAGTTGGACAATGAAGAAGAAGAAGAAGAGATTGGATTTATACACTGCCCTTCACTCGGAGTCTCAGAGTGGCTTACAAACTCCTTTCCCTTCCCCTCCCCTCCCCACAACAGACACCCTGTGAAGTAGGCGGGGCTGAGAGAGCTCTTTCCAGAACTGTCCTTGAGAGAACAGCTCTGATGGAACTTGCCCAAGGTCATCCAGCAGCTGCAAGTGGAGGAGTGGGGAATCAAACCCGGTCCTCCCAGATTAGAGTCCGCGCACTTAACCACTACACCAAACTGACAGGAAGCTGTCAGAAAGAAAGTTGATTCCATTGAAATGTGGTGTTGGAGGAGAGTTTTATGGATACTGTGGACTGCCAAAAAAAAAGACAAATAAGTGCATTCTGGATCAAATCAAGCTGAACTCTCCTTAGAAGCTAAAATGATGAAACTGAAGCTATTGTACTTTGGTCACATTATGAGAAGACAAGACTGCCTGGAAAAGACAATAAGGCTAGGAAAAGTCAAAGGCAGGAGGAAAAGAGGAAGATGGATTGGTTCAATTAAAGAAGCCACAGCCCTCAGTTTGCAAGACCTGAGGATGGCTGTTAAGGACAGGACGTTTGGGAGATCATTAATTCATAGGGTCACCGTAAGTCAGAAGTGATTTGACAGCCCTTCACCCAGAGGGATAAACGCTGCTGTTCTCCCACATGGGGACCCAAAACAGCTTAATATCATTCTCCCCTCCTCCATCACCCCCTCCGGGGCATTAGGTCTGAGAGCTGCCTATTGTACTGCTATAATGGGCCCTTATCAAATGTTCCTTTGGCAGCACATGGCCCAGTATATTGAACTGCTCCCCGATGACACAAAACCTCTTGCAAAATTTTTACACGCAGAAGGAATTAAGCTGGGGAATTAGTAGATAAATGCATCCAGGCAGTGTTCCCTTACAACAGCACTACAGATAAGATTAGAATTTCAACAGCCAACCCATATAAAAAAGAACCTCCTCAGGAAAGCTCCTCCATTAGCATGTCACAGCCTGGGAAACTCCTACAAGAGAATGACCCAGCCCTACCCCACCTTCCTGAGTAGATATAAATTACCTGCCTACCATTTTTCTTCTCATGTTGACATAGAGAGTACTCCATCTTGCTGTGTTATACCTCTGAGGATGCCAGTCACAACTGCTGGCGAAACGTCGGGTACTGCAATGCCAAGTTCAGTGTTCCCTCTAAGCTGACTTAGTGTGGGCCAGCTCAGTTTTTTAGCCTCCGGCTCACACATTTTTGTCTTCGCTCAGGAAGGATGGCTCCAGAGCAAACTAATTTATTCAGTAGCCAAACTGCTCGCTCACAACTTTAATGCCGGTAGCTCACATAGTAGAATTTTGGCTCACAAGACTCCACAGCTGAGAGGGAGCATTGCATCCGGGTACGCAGCTGATTGTTGCCGAATGACATTAGGACCAAGGTTGAAAACCCGCTCTTTGAAGGAAAAGAGTTTTTTGGGTTTCAAACAGATGCCACATGCATAAAAACAAGCTGACTGCAAAATCCTTAGGGATAAATAATCCCCCAGTCAGCATCAATGTTCCCTCTAAGCTGTGGAGTCTTGTGAGCAGAAATTCTACTTTGTGAGCTACCGGCATTAAAGCTCTGAGTGAGTGACTTGGCTACTGCATAAATTAGCCTGCTCTGGAGCCATCCCTTCTTGAGTTAAGGCAAGAATGTGTGAGCTGGAAGCTAAAAAACTATGAGCTAGCTCACACTAACTCACCTTAGAGGGAACACTGGTCAGCATCCTTGTATAAGCAGAGGTGTTTCCCTAGGTGTAGTTATCAATCACCAGTATCAAAGGCCTTACAGGTACCAGCCCACCTAACAACCGCAGCAGCCATATTGCCCTTCGTGCACCCCTCAGCACCACAGCAGGAAGTAACAGGGTAAACAGCAGAGTAAGCAGGCCTCTCAATCGTCCTGGGATCATTCTAGTAGAGGAAGATCCCTTCCATGACTAGGCCATGCCCCACATTTCTCGGGCAGGCTCTCCTCCTTTACAAGTGGGCCGTGATACCCCAAGACAATTGGGTCCTTTCCACTGCTAGGAACGGTTACTTCTTAGAGTTTGATTCTTATCCTGGTTTTCGGTCGCCGTCCCTGGCCACCTCCCACGCCCACCTCCACTGTTGATGGAGGAGGTTTCTGATTAGTTGATTAAAGGAGCTATTTGAAAAGTCTCTGGCATTGATGTTAATGTTGAGCTCTGTTCGAGGTATTTTCTAATAGACAGAAAGGTGGCAGTGAAAGGGCCTGTCTTGGGATTTAAAGGTCTGAATAAACATTTAAAGGCTTCCAAGTTCAGAATGGTGTCATTACATGATGTTCTGCCTGTTTTAGATAAGGGCACGTGGTTCACTGTTCTAGATCTCAAGGCCATCTATTTCTGCATCTCTGTTAATCAGAACTGCAGGAAATACCTAAGGTCCCAATGTGGAAACACATGTTATAAGTTTTCAGCGTTAACCCTGGGGGTCTGCAATGGCTTCTAGGGTCTTTACCGAGTGTGTATCTGCCATGGTGGCCCATCTTATGCTCAAAGGCTGTACGCTTTATCCATTTTTGGAGGACTGGCTTTTTGCTGATACATTGGAGGAGTCCCTAGTTGTTTGTCTTCAGCTAGCCAAAATACTCCAGAAAGGTGAAGAGACAGGCCAGCAACCTGGGTCTGTACTCACCTCAAAAATGGGAAGACAATCCAGCGTGGGGTACTCTTCGATGTCACCAGTCTGGGTGCTGAAGCAGGCACCGTGCCAGGGGCAGCGCAAGCGCCCATGTCTAAAATAGCCTGAAATTCAGAAGGAGATGACAACTGGGTGGGGGGAGGCGGGCAGTCGGGCAGGGGATGGTCAAAAGCAGCTCCCTGGAATGTTCCAAGATGCTTTCTACTCCATCCTTCTTGTACACGCAAATGGCTGTGGGGTTGTACCCCCTCTTGAAGTCTTGATTTTTTCCCCATATGATGTTTGGGAAATGAGTGCCAACAGCAGCCTCTTGACCGTGGCCTCCCCAAGAGTCAGCCTCGGAGTGGGCCTTGAACCCAGATGGCTCGTTCAGATGGCAGTCCAACCCCCCCCCCTTGCAACAGAATCCCCCAGATCAGCACCAGCTGTTATTGCAGCAGGCCCTGGTCTGTAGTTTCCACCATGTCAATAGAAAGGGGTCAGGCCCACTTTGATTTTCCCCTGTGTAAGGCTATTGGCCCGCTTGCCTTTGCAGAGGGGTGCTCCAGCATGAGGGCACTTGCTTCCCACCGCGTAGATCTGCAAATGGTCCCTCAACAGTAGCACTGGGTAACCAGCAACCTCCACTTCTCGCATCCTGCAACAGAAAGACAGACACTGTTGCTACACTGACCAAGTCTCTGCTTTCCACAATAAATGTAGATGCCTCTCTCTTTTGGGAAGACTGCTGTACTATTTTAGTTTAGATCAGGGCTATTTTTGGGCAGGAACGGAGTTCCGGCTGGCTCCCAAGTTGGCCACGCCCAGCAGGAACTCATTAGCATAATAGGCCACACCCAACAGCGGAAACTCATTAGGATTGGCTACATTAGGGGTGTATGGCCTAACATGCAAAGGAGTTCCTGCTACAAAAAAAAGGCCCTGGGTTTTGACAACAAACAAGGTAAATAGAATAACAAGCAAATGGTGGGTGTGGCTGGATGACCACACTTCTGGTAACATGGGAATGCGGCTTAATATGCTAATGAGTGGTGCAGTCAGGGGTGTGGCTCAATATGCTAATGAGTTTCTGCTGTTGGGTGTGGCCTATTATGCTAATGAGTTCCTGCTGGACTTTTTCTACAGAAAGAGCCCTGGTTTGGATTATTACACTCCTTGATTGTTGAATATATGTTTCATTGTTTATGCACAGTTTGCTCTTTTGTATTACTTACTCCCTTCTGTGCATCTCTGCTGTTCGAACCTCCAGGTGGTGGCTGGAGATCTCCTGGGATCACAACTAATTTCCAGGTGACAGAGATCAGTCCACCTGGAGAGAATGGCCACTTCGGAACGTGGACTCTGTGGCACGACCCCCATTGACAGGGTTGCCAGTCTCCAGGCGGTTGAAAGGAAGCAAACAACCGCGATGTACAGTGCCCCCCCCAAAAGGGTTCTTCACCAACTTGTAAATTCTTTTTCCAGTATTCAGTTTACTAGAAGCAATTCCAACGCCATCAACGCCAACGAACCCTGCATATTACATCTCGTTTCATGTATACTGTTAAGTCGCTCGCTTAACAAAGCAGTCGGAGAGTGATTCAGCAAGAACACAACTTTATTCTTCAACTCGAACACAACTCCAACACGGATCAACATCTGATAGCCAGAACAGCTTTTACATTGCAGCTGTCCTGCTTTTAAACTCTCCCGGCTAATGTAGTCACACCCACTGTACAATTACCAACCAATAAGGTTGTTCGCATAAGGACCAATCACGGATGTTCCTGCTCAGGGAGCTTGCTTGAAGGTGATTGGTTAGGTGCCTCCTGGCACGATTAGATGTATTTGGATCCTAGCCCAGGACGAAGCTTAACATTACAAGTCAATGAGATGTTTCACATACATCATGCATTCCATGGCAGCTTTGGAATACACTACATATACCTTTATCAAAGTGGGTGGCATTGAAATACCTATATAATGTTAATCCACTTGGCAAACAGTTGGATTCGACTGGCTTTCGAGCAAGGGAAACCTTTACCTCTTACCTTTACTAGTCATATCTAGTCATATCTCATAGTCACATTCATCAATGAATGAGATATCACTAGAGTGTTTGCCAAATGGATTAACATTGTATAGATATTTCAATGCCACCCACTTTAATTATGGTCAATGTCACTTGTGACCTGTGGAGGGGGCGTCCAATTGCCACTGACTTGGCCAAGTGCGTTAGCAGGGGACCCTCCCCTTTCTCTTCTCTCCTCCCCACTCTCCCACCCACTTTGGCTAGCTGCCGCTGGGTTACTCCAGGCATGCATGAGCCATAGAGGGATGCAAACTTGGTGGCTGGCTGGCCTGGGACCTTGGGACGCCACCCATCCCGACAGACCAGCCAGCCAGCCAGCCGCTGAGCTTGCATCCCTCTATGGCTCATAGAGCCAGTTTGGTGTAGTGGTTAAGTGCGCGGACTCTAATCTGGGAGAACCGGGTTTGATTCCCCACTCCTCCATGACCTTGGGCAAGCCTTAGTTCTGATAAGAGCTGTTCTTGAAAAAGAGGAGTTTCTGTCAAGAGCTCTCTCAGCCCCACCCACCTCACAGGGTTCTGTTGTGGGGAGGGGAAGGGAAAGGAGTTTGTAAGCCGCTCTGAGACTCCTTTGGGTAGCGAAGGGCGGGGTATAAATCCAATCTCTTCTTCTCTTCTTCTTCATGCATGCTTGGAGGAGCCCAGTGGCAGCTAGCCCAAGTGGGTGGGAGAGCGGGGAGGAGAGAAGAGAAAGGGGAGGGCGCAGTGTGCCCCGTCTCTTGCTAACGCCCTTGGCCAATTCCTTGCTCACGCACTTGGCCAGGTTGGTGGCAATTGGACGCCCCCCTCCACAGGCCGCAAGTGATGATAGCCACGATTAAGAAAAATGTGCGGGTTTTGTTTGTAGATGCAGAATGCATCAGAGAAGACACAATAATCAGCTGGAGAAAAAAGAATAGTGAAGAGGGCAGGGACACAAAATAGAAAGTTAACCTTAACGGCTCGACTGCTTGGATTCTCTGGAGTAAGCTACAGTGAGCTGTTAGTGCGGAAAGGGCCTTACTTAGTCACCTGAGTGCCCGTCAGTACATCTTGGCAGGCACTTCACCAAAGGGGTCCACAAGTCAGAAAGGGCCCCTCCCCCCAAACCCCACCACCACCACCTCCATCCCCCACCAGTACTCACTCTCCATCCCGCAAGTCCTTCTCCAGGCAAATTTGCTGGGTAACGATGTCGTCTCCTTTCTGCATGCTGCCTCCTTTCTTCATGCTTCCAGGCTGAGGACCAGAAAAAGAAGAAGAAGTCAGGCAGACGTTTTAGGCATGGCTTTCCTGCTAGGTTTCCTCCCACTGCCAGCTGTGGATGCCACGTCCAGAAAGGGCGGTACCAAAGAAGCCGTGTCTGGTGGCTCCCTTTGCCTCCTGCAGCTTCTGAGCCAGATGCCCGGGGCGGGGGGGGGGGCGCTTTGCAACAGAAGGGAGGCATGGCTCTTGCTTCCCCTGCTTGCTTTCTGCCAGACTGCCTGCCCTGCCTTGAAAGCAAAGACACCAGGTCATGGGAGGGCAATAGCCAGATCTCGAAGACAGGTGAGATGCCCAGCATGGGAGACGCAGTGGGAGCTGCAAGGACTGGGGTGAGTGGAGACAGGGAAGCAATGTTTCTCCATCACACCGCTTCAATTTAGCCTACCTCGTAGGGCTGTCATGTGTCTAGAATGGGGGAGAGGCCGTTTGTGCCACCCTGGCGAAGGATGAAAGACGCATCGCCAACAGTTGCCAAGGCAAAGTTCAGTCGAGAAAGGAACTGCTTTGCGTAGTGTGCCGGGAAGGGAATCATCCACAGGCGGTTTCCTTGGCTGCAGACAGCAATTACTCACTTAATAGGAGCTTCTCGTTCCCTGGAACTTGGTTCTGCTCAAGCCTTTCTCCTGGAACAGCAGAGAGTGTGAAGGGAGACAGCTGGGAACTAGTTTGTCTCTCCAGCTCCCACACCGGGTTGGGTTCCAGCCACACCTCCAAACCTGCGCAGCATCTGACCTGCACAGGTGGTTCATATCCTAGCAACCAGACCTCTGCTCCTCCCCTAGGAGCAGCGATGGAGAAATGAGCCGGCCTGGCTCTTCTGAGTGCGCATGGGAGCGGGATCCACAACTTACGAAGGCATAATTGGCACCCAAGGATGAGTGTGGTGGTGCGAGATGGAACGATTTCGCCACTTGCAAATTAGAGAGAAGACCGAGATGGCGACTCTGCTGGGATAAAGGCCGATTCCTCTGCTGCTATCCGGAGACAGAGTGGGAGAGATCGGTGTGGAGATGACGCTCCCCCACCCCAAATGGGAGCTTTCATTCATGGGGATCTGGCCTACGTTTCCCCTCCATGAATGATTTGGGCAGCCTCACCGGTGCCTTTGGAGGGGACACACGGTGCCCTGCGCAGACTGTAGCATGGCTCTGGGGTGGCTGAGAGATTAACCCATTCCTTCCTCTGGCATGGCTTGTGCACTTTGCGGATGCTATGGTGGGTAGCCTTCAGTCTATGCTGTCTCCAGAGCTGGGGTCTTCCGATGGCATAAGCTGTGCTGTTGGGGGGGGGGGCAGGCAATCCTACAGTCACTTCTTAGGGGCCAACAGCCTTCCCTCCTGCTCCTGCCTATCACTCTGGATGTGTTATGTACGCGGACCGCCACCAGGGGTCCGCGGTTACAGCAGGGAGTTTAGCTTCCCCAAACAAAAGGGTCCTAGGATCCTGGTCCACCCAGTATCCACCAATAGTAACTATGGTGTGGCCTCATTTGGAATACTGTGTGCAATTCTGGTCACCGCACTGCAAAAAAGATATAGCATTGGAAGACTCGGACGACGACATGCAGTTGCACACGTTTATTGAGTACTTAACATAAGAGAACACCACGGCCCTGCAAGGCCAACTATATACACTCCCGTCCCCGGGCCTCCCACTCCATTGGAGGGTTTGAATTTCCCGCCACAAAGCCTATTGGTCGGCTAGGGAGGGGACCTAGGATCCGAGGTCCTATTGTCCTGTGGAGCCAAGCTCCTCACTTTCTCGCGGGCGCCTTGTGGCGGCCCGCATACATAACAGGCAGGAAATTCAAACCCTCCAATGGGACTGTGGGTGTGCCGGGTGAGTGTGTATATAGTTGGCCTTGCAGGGCCGTTTGTTTGTCTTTGTTTGGAAGTCCAATAAACGCGTCTGAACGCATGTCGTGGTCCGAGTTCTCCATGCGTTGAAGCCAGTACTTTTCAGGCTGTCAGGCTGTCTTTGTGCCCTCTGCCCGTGGGCAAGTTCTGGTGGTTCAGGCACAGACTCTACTTGTGCTGACCGCACTCTGGCAAGCAGGGTGGCTCTCTGAGTCTTTGGCCGGGTTCCTGCATTCAAGTCCTGAGCCCCAGGAGAACACTCCAAAGGTCCGCTTCGCCACACAGCGGACACATCAACCTCTTGCCAATAGGGGATCCACTCTGCCCCTCTCCTCTTTTTATACCCACTGACCACCATACCAGCTGCATGATGCACAGGAGTGCTGGTCTGGTGGGGAAATAACAAGCAGGCGCTCAGTGTGCGACTGCAATAAAAAAGGCCAACGCTATGCTGGGGATTATTAGGAAGGGGATTGAAAACAAATCAGGCAGTATCATGATGGTGTGGCCTCATTTGGAATACTGTGTGCAATTCTGGTCACCGCACTGCAAAAAAGATATAGCATTGGAAAAAGTGCAGAAAAGGGCAACTAAAATTATTAAGGGGGTGGAACACTTTCCGTACAAAGAACGGTTAAAGAGTTTAGGGCTCTTTAGCTGGGAGCACTGACGTAGGGGTGACATGATAGAGGTTCAGAAAATTATGCATAGGACAGAGCAGGTAGAGAAAGAAGTACTTTTCTCCCTTTCTCACCTTACAAGGACTCTGGTGGGCACTCAATGAAATTGATGAGCAGAAGGCTGAGAACAGATGAAAGGAAGGACTTCTACGCCCAAAGAGTAATTAACACATGGAAATCACTGCTGCTAGAAGTGGTGGCGTCTACAAGTGTAGAAAGCTTCCAGAATGGATTGGCTCTGTGCCAGGTTCACAGCAGGCATTTCTTCTGCCTGTGGCACTGTGTGGCCAAGCACAACTCTGCTTTTTCTTGAAAAAAAGCTCCTTGTATTGTATATTGACGTAGTTTCCAGCTCTCCTTTGGCAATCTATATATTTTTTTATTTATTTTGATTTAACTTAACCACTATACCAAACTGGCTCTCAGGAATCTCTTTTCTTTCTGTCCTTACAGAGAGGCTGGGGGTTCAGACCAGATGTGCACATGGAGTTTCTATCAGCAGAGCAGGGGCAGATTGGCCACAAAGGCCACCAGGAAAAGTCCCTGTGGGCTGATAGCCTGGGGGGAGTCACTCCAGCCCCAAGCAAACTGGCAACATCTTATCCTATGCAAGGCAGGCAGGGCCACTACCCCCTATAGGGGGTAGTGGCAGGGCTGCCAGCTCTAGAGAACCTGGAGATTTCGGGGGTGGAGCCTGGGGAGGGTGGGGTTTGGTGCAGAGAGGGACCTCATCGGGGTATAATGCCATAGAGTCCACCCTCCAAAGCAGCCATTTTCTCCAGGGGAACTGATCTTGGTCCTCTGGGAATCAGCTGTGATAGTGGGAGGTCTCCAGCTGCCACCTGGAGGCTGGCAACCCTAAAGGCAGGAGGGAGCTGCGGCCATGAGAGGGTGGTTCTTGCCTGGGAAGAGGCACATGGCCAGTTTGGTGTCGTGGTTAAGTGCGCGGACTCTAATCTGGGAGAACCGGGTTTGATTCCCCACTCCTCCACTTGCACCTGGCTGGATGACCTTGGGCAAGCCGTAGTTCTGACAAGAGTTGTCCTTGAAAGGGCAGTTATCGAAAGAGCTCTCTCAGCCCCACCAGCCTCACAGGGTGTCTGTTGTGGGGAGGGGAAGGGAAAGGAGTTTGTAAGCCGCTCTGAAACTCCGAGTGAAGGGCGGGGTATAAATCCAATCTCTTCTTCAAATGTGAACTGCTACTGCTGCTGCTGCTGCTATGAGCCAGTGGTCCCTGCCATGGGCGAGGAGGGCGCGAGTTGCCACCATGAGCTGGCATCCCCAGCCTTCTGTGGGGTGGGCACAAATTGCAACTGCAAGCCAACAGCCCCCAACCTACCCCCACACACACACATCAGACAGGAGGGAGGACAGCCTCCTTCTCTCTTTCCCCCTTTCACCTCCCGGTCAACATCTGGTGCAGACCTTCCAGCAATTTTGTTTAAACATTAGTGTTCAGGCACACAAAGGGTCTAATTTGGATGAAGACTTTTCAGTGCGCTAATAAGAATCAGGGACGGTTTCCCCAGCCACCACCCTCCATTCATGCTGACAGTGGAGCCACCTTAGGCGCTGAGCCGGTCTTAGTAATTAAAATCTGGGCAAGGATTTTTCCACGCTTTGTTTGGTAACCACGTGCCCTTTAGGCCTTGCAGCAAAAAGGGCCGCCGACACCAATTTCATAAAAAGGGAAATGCAATCGTATTATGTCACTGATTTTAAAAGATGGAGGGGGGGAGTCCATTATCTAATCAATATCTGACGACACCTGAGCGATGTAATCGATGCACTGTGGTGGAAAGCGCTGTCAAGTCGCCGCTGACTTATGGCAACCCCTGGTGGGGTTTTCAAGGCAAGAGACGTTTGGCGGTGGTTTGCCATTGCCTGACATTCCTTGGGGGTCTCCCATCCAAACACTTGCCAGGGCGACCCTGCTTACCTTCCGAGATATGATGAGATCAGGCTAGCCTGGGCTAAGCAGGTCAACCAATGCATCGCTCTTCCTTTACAAAAAAAAAGTTGTATTCAGAAGAAGAAGAAGAAGAGATTGGATTTCTTCCCCGCCCTTCACTACCCAAAGGTGTCTCAGAGCAGCTTGCAAAACTCCTTTCCCTTCCCCTCCCCACAACAGACACCCTGTGAGGTAAGTGGGGCTGAGAGAGCTCAGACAGAAACAGCTCTTTCTCAAAAACAGCTGTGCCGGAACTACGGCTTGCCCAAGGTCATCCAGCCAGGTGCAAGTGGAGAAGTGGGGAATCAAACCCGGTTCTCCCAGATTAGAGTCCGCGCACTTAACCGCTGCACCAATGTTAACTAAGCAGGAGGAAGCAGAAAAAAAGAAGCTTTGGTCTCCATTGTTGCTTGGCTAGCCGGTAAATCACTCCCTGCAGCTCTAGAAAGGTGGGAAGGAACTGACCCAAGTCCCCAAACAAAAGGATTCCTTTTCCCCACCCCAGTCCCCACCCCCTTCTGCCTGTTGGGAACTGCAGACGTTTTAGTTCCAAGGGGGCTTTGGTTCAGGTGGGGTCTTTAATACCACAGATGTCACCCGGCTTCAGTTTTTCCAGCCAGCCAGATTTCCCAGACTCGAGGAACTTGTTTGATGCCCTTTGTTCTACCCAGAACACTGTTTGTCAGCAGACTGCACGTTAAACGTCTCTTTTCCAAAGCTGTGCATTTGCTACAAGCGGTGTCACGATAGATATCAAGCCAAACACAGCCCCCCCCCCGGGCCTTCTGCTGAACAAGGCAGCCTCAAGCCTGCCTTCTTTTGCAACTCCTTGCTGATGATGCCTTGGATAAGCTACTAGCCCACAATGGGTCAGCTGATGCTACATCCACCCCCTGCTCTCTCACCCCAAAGAAATTGAGCCTGGAGCTTCTCACAATAGGGGCGGGGAGGTGCCGAAATGCTGGCATGACTGCGGAGTAGGTTTTCCTCCAGGGGCATCGGCAACTGTGCGTGTGTCAAACAAACAACGCTCTTGGAAGAAGCTGGGACCAACAGCAAACCTGACCCTAAACCCACTTTGCAACTTGGCAGTGGAGGTGGAAATTGTTGTCAAGTTGCAGGTGACTTTCGTGAGATTTTCAAGGTAGGAGAAGAAGAGAGGGGAGTTGCCATTGCCTACCTCTGTGTAGCAACCCTGGGCTTCCTTGGTGGTCTCTCATCCAAGTACTAACCAGGGCCGACCCTGCTTAGCTTCCAAGATCTGATCAGATCAGGCTGGTCTGGTCACAGCACTTGACAGCTTACAGATCCCCAAAACATCTACCGTACGGAAAAACACATCACGATCCAAAATAGCAACAATAAACCCATCAAACCAAGCAGCTTAAAAGCAGCACAGAAGATTAGCTCTTCAGCCCAGCTGTTTGTGCCACTTCTAGGGATCCAGATTTGATGTTTGACCAATCCAAGTTGGCAAACTGTCCACAAGAGCTTTTGGATTCCAGTGCCACTAAGATGAAATCCAGGAGTGTTAGAATCAGGGGTCATTTCCTGCAGGAGCACACAGGAGCGGAGCTCCGTCAGTAAGGAGCCCGAGGGGCGGGCACATGCAACAAGCCCCGCCCCCTGCTCCCAGCAGCCCTCAGTTGGGCCATGAGGAGCAAGAAGCAGCCAGGTAAGCTGCAGAGGCCCTCCCCCGCTCGCCTTCAGGTACAAGCTCTCCCTCCTCTGTGAAGGCAAATCTGCACTTCTCCCCACCCCCACTCACACAAATCTCAAAAAGAGATCTTCACTTTTAAGAGCAAGTTTTATTCAGGTACAAGCTCTCCCTCCTCTGCGAAGACATATCTTCCCCCCCCCCCCCAATAGCTGGCAATCAAAAACAGTCCAGCGGGTGTTGCCTTCTGACACACTTCCGGTGATGTCAGGGGGTGTGGCATATGGAAATAAGTTATGCTAATGAGATCCTGCACCTCTTTTTCTACGAAATGACCCCTGGATCAGCTTGATTCAGATACTGGGGCTTGTTATTAAGGTTCCACCTGGTTGAACTAGTCATTCCTATTTTTCTTCGGCTTTCCTACAGAATCATTTGTAACCCTCCACTGGAAGAACCAAGAGTCGCACTCTGCAAGAAGACTGCAGCATATTTTCACACCAGAAGAGGGTGGTGGAGCCGGGTGCCCCTCAAATCTGCCGCGGACATGGTATGCCTGAGACGTCTTCCCCATCAGCAGGCTTTCAGGACTGGATAACTGCACTCTCCATCGTCAGAAGGAGTATACCTCTGAAAGCCAGTTGCTGGGGGAAACGACAGGTGAGGCGGAGCCTTTTATCATTCTTCCGTATTGGTGATGGGAAAGTAACTTTGTAAGAAGCAGGGGTCATTTCGTAGAAAAAGAGGTGCAGGAGCTCATTAGTATAAACTCATTACCATAACTTATTTGCATATGTCACACACCCTGACATCACCGGAAGTGTGTCAGAAGGCAGCACCAACTGCTCAGGCTCCACTGGACTCTTGGATTGCTAGCTATGGGGGGGGGGATAGGATGCGCAGATCTGCCCTCACAGAGGAGGGAGAGCTTGTACCTGAATAAACCTTGGCCTTAAAGGTGCCACTGGATTGTTTTGGATTGCTATCTGGGGGGTGGGGGAAGCTCTGCAACTTACCCGGCTGCTTCTTGCGCCTTGTGGCCTGGGGCTGCTGGGAGCAGGGGGCAGGGCTTGTTGCATGTGCCCACCCCCTGGGCTCTTTACTGCCGGAACTCCGCTCCTGTGCACTCCTGCAGGAAATGACCCCTGGTAAGAAGTAATATCGATTAATCACTTCCTTTGTTGTTGCTGTCTTGCTAACTTCTCTGTTTATGTTCTTCTACCAGCAGGGCTGTTAGAACTCAGGAATGTTCTTTGGGGGGGAGGTGTCAAGGGCTACCTCCAGGGTTTTGGGGGTCTCTGGCAATGTGCTGTCCAACACCCCTCTCTAAACACATTGCTTGCTGCTCTGTATGCCTTCCCTCATTCAGATGCATCGCCTATCTCTCAGAGACTGAAAGAGAAGGTGGGAGGAATGGGCAATTGCCCTAGGGGTCCCCATGGACCTTTTTCAGTGGTGGCACCTCACCTGAAGAATGCTCTTCCCCTTGATGCTCACCTAGTATCTGCCCTACTCTTTCTTTAGGCACTAGGCCAGCCCTTTTCTTTTTATCTTCTTGGCTTTTTCTGCTGGGAGAGGCGCAACATGAGGAAGATCCGGCTGGCTTCTGTCTTTATTACGTTTTCCCCCTCCTCTCCCTGCAGGTGTTTAGTCTGGGAGGGGCCACAAGTGTGAGCCCAATGTGACAGGAGATAAATTGGAGCAAGCTATGAAACATCAAAAAGATGTCCAAGACAAGTCTTGTTCAGTAGATGACAAATATCCCAAAGCCGCCAAGTTTCGGCGTCAGAAACCCAGGCAGCCACAAGAGAGTTCTGACAGATAATAAGTGTTGCCAAGCTTTAAATAGGCAAAGGAATGGAGGACTGACTGTTTAGAGAAAAACAACTAGGTTTATTAAAGAAGAACAGACTGTTATAGAACACAGAGAACCTTCATTGTCTAACCTAACCGCTGAAGGAGGAGCAACAACAGAAACTCTGCAGGAGCAGAAAGTCTCTAGAAGAGCTAATCAGGAGACATGTGTGAACCAGGAGCTTCTCTCTTGGTTCTCCTGCCAAGTCTGCAGGGGCTCCAGGCCTCCAGTTGGCAAGGAGCAGCTTATTTACTTTGGCAGGACTCAAAGCACTCTGCTCCTTAAAGGCTCACCCCTCCAGTCTCCAGTTCGGCTCTGGGAAAAGGGAAGGGAGTCACCCATTAGCAGCGCTGCTCCACAGCTTTTGGGCAGCCCAACAAAGTTTATTGAAGATGATTTTAAAAAATAATAAGTCACTGCATGGTGACAGTGAAAAGGCAAACGTACCAGCGTCAACAAGGTTCCCAGCCCTGAGACCCACATGATCTGACCAGTGTGTGTGAGTTATTTCTGAAGAAAGGCGATATTAAACAACCTGCCAGCCAATCAAGGCCAAATAACTACGGCAGGTGTGGAGCTCTTAAAGGGAACCCCCCCCCCCAGGTCTTCAACTGAAACAGTTCACAGGGCTCCAGTGGAAACAACTTAGAGCAGGGGTGTCAAACATGTGGCCCGGGGGCCGGATCAGGTCCAAGGAGGGCTTCCATCAGGCCCACAGTGGAACTGGCCATCGCCTGCTTCCAGTTCTACTGCTGTATCATAGCTTACTTCGCCAGACTCTCTCAATCGCTCGGTCATTTCATGTTTTCCCCTGGGTCCTAGACTCAGAACTCTGAGCATGAGATTTCTGTGGTGAATGTCAATAAATTGAAAGTAGGTTTGCAGCTTACAGAGCTAATGTTTTCTGCATGTTTTTTAAATAACTTTATTTTTATAACTTTTTTTAAACATATAACTTTTTATATATATAGTGCAAAATATAAACGTGCCCATAGTACAACTAATATTTCACTACTCACACACGTAAAATACAAAATCAACATATTTAGCAGGTAGTGCAGTTGTTCCATTGTTTACATTGTTAATATAATCAAAAAACACAAACCATTTTTCCAAAAATTTAGATTTCCTCTCAGGGTTTTCTGCTTCCAACAGTTGTGTTGCAATTTTATCCATAACCACTATATCCCATAATTTCATGAGCCACTGTTTTACTGTAGGGATCTTGTCTAATTTCCAGACCTGAGCTATTAACATTTTAGCAGTGATTAACATAAGAGAAAATAATTCCTCAGATGTTTGAGAAAAGGTCCCTTTATCCCAATAATTTAATAAAATGGATTCTGGTGTGTAAGGAACCTGAATTCCCAATATCTATATATCTAATTCTCAACTGTGCCCCCTGTGTGTGGATACCTAAATCCGCACATCGGGGGCATCTGGAGGGGAGGGAGATTTTTGTGCACACTTGGAACAGTCCCCAGGTGTGCACAAAAATCTGAAACCTGCAAAAAAAACCTCAGGGGGATACTTAAATCCCCCCGAAACTCACAGAGTGCAGGGAACGCTCTGCAAACTTCGGGTGTGTGTGGGGGAAAACAGCGACGGCCGAGCATTCCCTCCCTCCCAAGCCAATAAGAACGCAGAGAAGCGAGCCCACGTGCCTGGGACTGCTGTCACTCACCAACCGCGAGCTTCTGCGCTTCAGGCTGGGGTTGCTGGGTGTGCGCGCCCTTCTGGGTGGTTTAGCGGTGAGAGGAGCGGCGCAACGGTGTCTGAGGCCCAGGCGGCTGTAAGCCGCCCGGCCTCGCATCGGAGTGGGGGGGGGACAGCAAGGCCTCCTCCGCCTGCTCTGCATGGAGCTCCCCCGCTTCTCCCCCCCCCCTGCGATTTTCGCTGGTCCCCTTTCTTGTAGTTTTTATTTTTGCAATTATTTCCTTCCAGAAGCTCTGTATATTTGGACAGGTCCACCAGCAATGGAAAAGTGAACCTGACTGACCACAGCCTTTCCAACACTTAGCTTTTAAAAAAATCTTAGCATGAAACAATTTCAGGGGAGTAATGTACCATCTGGAGAATAGTTTCTAATTTTGTAACCTGATGTTTAAAGAACGAGATGTGTGTAGACTAGAGGACCAAATTCTCTTCCATTGTTCTTGAGATAAAGTCAAGTTACAATCCTTATGCCATGCTTGTTGTTGTGTTGATTCTTTTTCCCAATAATGTTGAACTAATAACCTATATATAACAGTTATGGTCCCTTTGTGCTCTATCATGCCTTTCTCAATTAAAGATTCAAATATTTCTAGGGGTCCGTTTGTACCTTCTGCCAGGTCATTGCTAGTTACCATGTTAGAGATTTGGTGAAATTCAAACCATGGGATTTTTATGTTGTGTTTCATTTCTAATTGTTGAGCAGACCATCTTTGACCTTTATAACACAAATCAAGAATTCTAAATTTTCCAGCCTTTCTCCAGTTCTGGTAACTCTCTATGTGTTCTCCAGGAGGGAACCATTTTTGCCCTAGAAAGGCGGACACTGGTGACGATTTAGGCGCTACTATGCTCCTGGTTTTATCCCAAATCTCTAAAGTTTTCTTCAAGAAAGGGTTGCATTCTATTGTTTTAGGTCTATCTTTAGCTTGAGCCCATAGGATTTCATGCATAAGTTTAGGAAATACAAAAGAGCTCTCAATTAGTACCCAGTCTTTAATGACGTTAGGAGAAGCATAATGTAAAACCTGTTTCAATTGCGATGCCTCATAATAGAGTTTTAACTTAGGCACTCCTAAACCACCATTTTTTAAGGTAGTCAATAGTTGAAAATTCATGTGGGGTCTCCTATTATTCCACAGGAATTTAGATATTTTGGATTGCCAAGATTGAATAGTTTGAGTTTTAATATTGATAGGAAGATGTTGGAAGAGGAATAATATTTTAGGAAAAACTATAGTCTTTAATAATTCATTTTTTTCCAAGAGTGCAAGATTCAACTTTGACCATTCTTTAAAAGAATTATTAATCGAATTCACTACTGGAATGTAATTATAATCAAATAGGTCATCTAATTTGAGTGGTATCTTGATACCTAAATGCCTCCAAGATTTGACTACCCATTTAAAAGGAAAAGAGTTTGTTATTTCTTGCTTTTCTAGCTCCGTTAGAAACATTGGAAACAACTCCGTCTTAGACACATGTTTTTATTTTAAGTAAAAAAAAATCTTTGTAATTGTGTCCTTTATAAAGTTTATATCTCCACTACCTGGCATCACATTTTATGACACATGTGGCCCGGCCAAACAAGGTCTCATTTATGTCAGATCCGGCAATGAGTTCAACAAATGAGTTCAACATAGGGTTGCCAAGTGAGAAGTTCTTATTGGCGGGGGAGCCTCGGCGTTCTCCGGAAGCCGTCTGAGAATATGTGAGCGCGCGCTAAGCGCGCATGCGCCACCAGCACGTCACCAGAAGTGACGCGCGACATCAATCACGTTGAGGGTGTGGCCACGATCGTCGAAGGGAAAATCATAGAGTTTTCCCTCCAACGATCGGGGCCATGCCCCCAACGTGATTGACGTGGTTGTGACGCAGCCATGCTGCACTTCGGGGGGCGGAATTCCCCCCCGGGGCCCGATTCCGTGGCGGTGGAAATCAGGCCTCTGAAGCGGGGGGTTACCCGCCCCCTGCCCCCACTTGGCAGCCCTAGTTCAACACCCCTGACTTAGAATTTCAAATTAATCATCTGAAAATAAAAACACATACTGCTTCCATACAAGACAGGAAGGACATAATTTGAACATGTGGGAGGTCCCTAATCTAGCTATGCTAACTAGCAGTCCTTCATCTGTCCCCTTGTAGAGTGATCTTCTGATCTTCTTCATAAGGCTGCACTATAGACCTTGTATATGTTAACAAATAGTACCCTAAGAAGCAGGTCCTGGTTGTCAGGAATTCAGTTTTGCCTATAATAATGGAGAAGGAGGGTCACTGACAGGGTTTATTGTAATAGTCTTCCTTTTTAGGGTAATATTGTTTGCCAAACAGAGGTCTTAGCCATTGGTTGCAGTCAAGGAATGAACATAATGAGGCAGCGGGCGTCCACACACGGCCTTCCCGAGGTGGCTGTCACCCACCCACTGATAACCGGCCAGATCCAGTGACATCAATGGCCCAGAATCTCCCAACGGCAAGCTGCAACTACTGTTTTTATATGTTTATAATCTGCTTTAAATTTTATTGTATTTATAAACATGATGTAACCTGCCCTGGGTCCATTGACCGGACAACCACCCTCTGTCCCCAATCTTGGAGAAAGGAGGCCAGCCATTGTAAGGCTAGTTCCCATATCCCCATATCGGCGAGGTGGTGGGTCAACAGTTCATGGCTGACCGTATCGAACACTGCTGACAGATCAAGAAGAATCAGCAGCGCCAAACTGCCTGGGTCCAGATGTCTCCGGAGGTCATCCACCAAGGTGACCGACACCGTCTCTGTCCCATAAGCAGGGCAAAAGCCGGACTGGAAGAGATCCAGGATGTTAGCATCCTCCAAGAAAGCCTGGAGCTGTGTTGCCACAGCCCACTCCACTACCTTACCTGGAAATGGTAGATTGGATACTGGGCAGTAGTTACTAGGGACCGTAGGGTCCAAAGATGGTTTCTTTAGGAGGGGGCAGACTACTTCCTCCTTTAAACTCCCTGGGAAGGTCCTGTTGATAGAAACAAGTTAATAATCTCCCTCAGGGGAGTCCCTACCTCATCGCTGCAAGCTTTAATTAGCCATGTTGGGCAAGGATCAAGAGGAGAAGTGGTGGGTTTCATGGCTGCCAAGGACTTGTCAACGGCATCCTGGGAGAGCAGACTGGAATACTCCAAAACTGGACTCACAGATGGACAGAGGGCTTCCAGTTCCCTTATTGTATCAAGTGTGGCGGGGAGGTCATGGCAGAGCGTCAAGACTTTATCTGCAAAATGGCTCACAAATGCCTCACAGCCAGTCATCAATTCCCTAGCATTTGGAATGCTCTGGGGCAAAGTAGTCAATGACCAAATTATTCTAAGTAGTTGGGCTGGGCGCGAGTTTGCAGACGTGATAGAGGCCGCATAGAAATCCTTCTTAGCGGCCTTCACCGCCATTTCATAGGTTTTCATAAACAACCTATAGTTCCCTCCAAGCTGTGGAGTCCTGTGAGCAAAAATTCTACTTTGCGAGCTCCTGGCATTGACATTGCGAGCGAGCGATTTGGCTGCTGCATAAATTACTTTGCTCTGGAGCCATCCTTCTTGAGCTAAGACAAAAATGTGCGAGCCGGGGGTTAAAAAGCTGTGGGCTAGCTCACACTAACTCAGCTTAGAGGGAACACTGTATCTTGTAGCTTCGTCATGGGCTTGTCGCCATCTTCTCTCTAGTCGTTTTAGCTCCCATTTCACCCACCTCAGATCCAGGGAATACCACAGTGCCAATTTGGAGCAAAGGCAAAGAAGGTGCTGGGGACTGACCTCATTGATGGCTTCGGAAAGATGGTTTTGCCAGTCTCCCACCAGCTCATCCAATGAGTCGCCAAGGGGAATTGGATCCTGCAGTGCTTCCTGGAACCTACTAGGGTCCATTTGACTCTGCAGATGAGCATAAATCCGCTCACGCCCAAACAGGAAGGATTAGGAGCGCTAAAGTGGGCCTTCAGGGCAAAGTGGTCCAACCATGGTACAGCGTTTGCAGTGATCTGGTCCACTGTAATCCCTGAGGCAAAGATAAAGTCCAGCGTGTGGCCTGCTTGGTGTGTGGGGGGCCAGTGTTCCCTCTAAGCTGAGTTAGTGTGAGCTAGCTCACAGTTTTTTAGCCTCTGGCTCACACATTTTTGTCTTGGCTCAGGAAGGAGGGCTCCAGAGCGAACTAATTTATGCAAGAGCCAAAGTGTTCGCTCACAACTTTAGTGCCAGTAGCTCGCAAAGTAGAATTTTTGCTCACATGACTCCACAGCTTAGAGGGAACATTGGCGGGGGCTGAAACAAACTGGGTGAGTCCCAGCGCTGCCATGGATGATACTGGTCTGTAGCCTGAGAGGAAGCCACATCATCAGCATGGACGTTAAAGACTCCCAAGACCAAAAGTCTGGGGTACTCCAGCGCCCAGCCTGATATGGGAGGGCATTTGCAGTTGCGTTGGGCGGATGGTACACCAGCCAAATGGCCAAACTCTCTTTGGCACCCACACCAGACCCACATGTTAAATGTTGGCAATCTTTGTCTCAGGGAGTGCCCTGAAGGAGAAAGCCTCCCGAAAAAGCAACACCATTCAACAACACCCCCCCACCCATTAGTCTGGGACTGCTGAAGGACCAAAAAAACCTGGGAGGGGGTAGTTGACTCAGGGTGACAGTTTCACCCTCCTGCACCCGGAGCTTGGTCATGCATGCCAGGTCTACCGTTTGCTTTACCAGATAATTCTGGAGAATGGTGGTCTTATTATTGATAGACTTGGCATCACATTGCACCACTGTCGGAGAAGGGTACCTCTTCCTATCCCCACGGCCAGCATCTTTAGAGATGGGACAAAGGTTGGAAGGAGATTGAGCATTCCTGTATCTTCATCTCCTTCCCACAATTTGCCTTCTCCCACCGCCATACATCCCCTGCCCCAGCATCACTGGAATCCCTGACCCACGCATGGCCTCCCCCATCAGATCCTATCAGCCCAGAACTGGTCCCACTAGGCATCCGGAGGAAGCAATGGTATATTAGAGGTAAAGGTTCCCTTGCTCGAAAGCCAGTCGAATCCGACTCTAGGGTTGCGGTGCTCATCTCCGTTTCAAAGCTGAAGAGCCAGCACTGTTCGAAGACGCTTCCGTGGTCATGTGGCCGGCATGACTAAACGCCAAGGCGCACGGAACGCTGTTACCTTCCCACCGAAGTGGTACCTATTTATCTACTTGCAATTTCTTGCTTTCGAACTGCTAGGTTGGCAGGAATTGTGTATTACTAACCAGTATTTTTCAAAACCCGATTGGCTTCTCCTATATATATATTAAACCATCCTTACCCCTCCCTCCTTCAATTAATCAATCAACCCTAATGTTATGGTAATCAATGTATACAATTAATTTGATTAATAATATACTCCAAGTCCAATAGCCCAACCTAGTCTGCTCTTGTCAGATCTTGGAAATGAAGCAGGGTAGGCCTTGGTTAGTAGTTGGATGGGAGTCCACCAAGGAAATTCAGGATTGCTACACACAGGCAAGGCAGCTTCTGTTTCTCTCTTGTCTTGAAAACCCTACAGGGTCACCATAAGTGGAATGTGACTTGACGGCACTGTGTGTGTGTGTGTTCAGTGCTATCAAATTGCTTCCAACTTGTGGTGACCCTATGGATCAATGACCTCCAAAAGGTCCTACTGTTAAGTCTTCCTCAAGTCTTGCAAACTGAGGGCCGTGTCTTCTTTTATTGAGCCAATCCCTCTCTTTTTGTCCTGCCTTCAACTTTTCTTAGCATTATTGTATTTTCCAGTGACTCTTATCTTCTCATAATGTGCCCAAAGTACAACAACTTCAGTTTAGCTTCTAGGGAGAGTTCCGGCTTGATTTGGTCTAGAATCCACTTATTTGTCTTTTTGGTGCAAAGACTATTCCTGTAGCCAAAAGAAATGAAGAGTCTCAATGGATGTCTGATGAAACTCTTAAAATTGCTAAAGACAGACGAGATGCAAAAGTAAAAGATGACAGAGATGAGAACTTATATAATAATCAGTGTAAAGAAACAGAAGAAAACAACAAAAAAGGAAGAACAAGAGATCTGTTCCACAAGATCTAAGAAAAGAGAAATGTAAGCACATTTAGGCGTGCTGAAAGATCAACATGGAAATACATTAAGAAGAGGAGGAGACCCATGGCAGGGCAGACAAGGCAGCCAGTTTGAGACTGGGCTTGCTCAGGTAGATCTAGGCATTGTGAGGAAAGAAAAAGGTACTGCCTGGACCTTGGAGTGGACTCCAGATGAAGCCTAGGCACTAGATTGCCCCCCCCCAGTGTAAATAAGTTAAAGGGGGGTACTTTTTCCTTTGGAACTTCAGCTCAGACTAGGTCGCAGAACGGTGCTGAGCACGTTGGTTGACACCCAAGAATCAACCCACTGCTAATTGTTGGGGTCCCTGCAGCTGCAAGGGATGTGGGTATGTATACATTTGCCTCTTGGCGACACAATCATACAACTTTCAGGCGGACAATGAGGAAATGAAAATTGTTCAAGACTTTCTATTCCTTGGCTCCATCTAGCAAAAGGGAGACTGCAACAAAGAAATCAGAAGGAGACTGAGACTGGGAAGGGAAGCCACGAAGGAGCTAGAAAAGATTTGTAAGGGTCACTGGTGACCATGATTCATTCATACTGTAGTACTCCCCATTACTATGTATTGGCGTGGAAGCTGGACAATGAAGAAAGCTGACAAAAAGAAAGTTGATTCATTTGAAGCGTGGTGCCGGAGGAGAGTTTTAAGGACCCCACAGACCATCAAAAAGACAAATAAGTGAGTTCTAGATCAAAATCAAACCTGAAGTCTCCCTAGAAGCTAAAATGACTAAACTGAGGTCACATTATGAGAAGACAAGAGTCACTGGACAAGGCAATGAAGGCAATAGGAAAAGCTGAAGGTAGCAGGACAAGAGGAAGACCGAACACGAGGTGGAATAACTCAAGAAAGGAAGCCACGACCCTCCGTTGGCAAGACCAGAGCAAGGCTGTCAGCAACAGGACATAATTCAGAAGGTCGCTGTAAGTCGGAAACAACTTGATGGCATTTAACACTCACACACACAACTCTGTTTAAGGTCGCACCATCAGACCGAATACTTGTATGTGACTGTTATGAATAAAAGTTGGCATAGTTCTAAAGGAAATAGGGCTGTAATAAAACGCGGTTGTTCAGGAGGAGCGCACTTTTTATAAACGGGGCGTAGTTCAATATCAGATGCATTGTTGTTTTTTCAATGTATTATTCGCTTTCATTATTTTCTAATTTCCCAACCCGGTTTTATTGCAGCGTTCTCTAGTCTGTCATCTGCCTTAAGTGGAGCCCCGACGACAAAGGCGGACTATCAACGAAGGCGAATTAATAGACGCGGTCCTAGACAGGCGGCCAGGTCTGGCCTCTTCCCTAAGGCGAGGGCAGCGGAAGCCTCCTGGCTCCTTTTGCAGGACCGACAGGGCGACTGCGGCGCGCCTGTGGGGGAAAGCCGCGCAAGGACCACGTGCAGCCGCCTGCCGGCTGTCGAGAGCGCCGCAGCTCCAGCGCGGCAGAGACTGCGCCGGACACGCGTGCGCTCCGACCACGTGGGGACAGCCGTCCAGCAAGGGCGCTTGGCGGGCTGCACACGTGGGGGGTGGCGGTGACGCGTCGCGCACGTTAGAGGGCGCTCTGTGAGGTCCGCGGCGCTTGGCCAACCAGCCGGGTCCTGCTCTGCGGGAGCCGGAGGAGCGTCGAACCCCGGCACACCGCGTTCCCCCCTTGGGGCGCTGGCCAGGAGGGCCCGGGCCAAAGGAGGCGGCCGTGGCCCCGTCGAGCCGGGTGGGCTGGGCGTGCGGCATCGCCATGGAGACCACAAGGCGAGCGGGCCGGAGCCAATGGCAGGCGCCTGCGACTCAGCGCCTGGGCGAGGAAGGCGCGGCGGCCGCGCCGTCGGGGGCGCCGAGATAGGCGCCGGCCCCGGGCTCCCCTCCATGGAGCTGCTGGTGCTGGGAGGGTCGGTGGCCGCCTTCCGGCTGCTGAACGCCGGGCTGGAGCGCCTGGTGCCGCCGCCAGCGGCGGCGCAGCACAAGCGCTGGAAATGGCGCAACATCTGGACCTCCTTCGTTCACAGCCTGCTCAGCGCCGCCGGAGCGCTGCTTGGGTGAGTCGAGCGGGGGGGATCCTTGCCGGGCCGGGGCTCGGCGGCTTGCGCGCCGTCTCACCTTCCTTCTTTCGCCCTCTTCCCTCCGCGCAGGTTCTACCTCCACCCGCAGATGGCCGAAGATCTCATCGACACGCACTCGCCCGCGGCGCATCGCCTGGTGGGGGCTTCCCTCGGTGAGTGGCTTCTCTCCCGCCCGGCGGGACCGAGGGAGGGGTGCGGAGCTCCATGTGGAGGGAGAGGGTCCAATGCTTGGGCTTGAAGCCACTTTTTAGTAACCCCATTAATATCCTGGGACAGGTTCGAGGGCTGCACCCTGGGATGAGGCATAGTTGTGGGGCTAAGAGGAGCGAAGAGTTTCTCCGTGGAGGAAGCCTACTGCTGTCTCCGGGAGTGGACATGAAGGGACGCCGCTGTAGGCAGTTCTCTGCTGCTATTGGTGGGTCGACTGTCCAGGCTCAGAGGGCGGTGGTGGGCTGTGTGGGGAGAACATGTCTGGGGAAAGAACACTCTGCGGAACCACAAGGCTAGGCAGTACCTTTTTCTTCCCTCACCATGCCTGGATCTACCTGAGCAAGCCCGGTCTCAAACTGGCTGCCTTGTCTTCCCTGCCGTGGGTCTCCTGTAGCCCCCTGCGGAGCCACCTCAGCAGCTTCACACCCCAGACACTGATGAGGAGGCAGCCGTGGTGCTGGGCGACGCCAGGCCTGCGCTTCTCCTCATTCTGTTCGCGCACGCATGTGATGGGGACAGCAAACAATGAAGTCTGTTCTTGCCCAGCACAGCAAATTCCGCTCTGGAGTTCAGCTGCATCCCCTCCCTGACTGCTGGTGGGAGCAGTGTTGCTGTTCCCGGCCACAGAATCGAGCTCCAGAAGCCTTCTTTGGTTATCCAGGCACACCAGCTGCCAGGGAGCTTGTCGAAAGACGCCTCTGGCTGTCTCTGTGCCAGAGCCAAGTTGCGGCGATGGCCCTGATCCTGACGGAGGCCAGGTTGAGGAGCGACAGTGATCAAAAGTCCTTCGGCACTTTAAACACTCCTTTGTGGCCTGAGATAACAGAGGTGGGAAAAGCTGAGGTTATCAGGTCTTGTAAGAGTTCCGCTCCAAACTCAGTGGGTGTTGTAGGAAAACAGAAAACCAGCCTGTGTTCCACCCAAGCATCTGCCGTAATAAGTCCTTTTTAAAAAAATTGTAATTATTTTATTTTGTCAAAACAAGTAGTAACAATCTAGTGCCAATAACAAAGATACATCAACATAATAAATGCGTCTCAGTAAACAATCTTGTAAAACTAAGTCAAAATTGACTGTAAAACTTAACCTTTCAACAGAAAGATCCTATTAGTCATGGGGTTATTGCTCTGATGAGTTAGAGAAGTAAAGATTAGGTATACTGTCATTTTCCAACAGAGATTCTCATAGTAATGTTTTACAGCGTTAACCATTTATGATATTGTGAATTTGCAGGTAGTATATCATGTGTCGTGAGATGTGAAAATATTGGAAACCAGGTTGATTCAAATTTGGAATTGGATGTCTGGATTGTTTGTGCTCTATGTATTTTATCTGTGATTTTTGTCATCACAAACTGTTCCCAAATTTTATCATGCCGGGCGGATAAAGTTGGTGGCAGCGGGGATTTCCAACACGAGGCTGTTGTCAGGCAAGCTGTTGCAAGGAGTAAAGAGATTATTTCCTTATTTCTATTGTCTATGATGGCATCCCAATGATTCAATAATGGAATCTCAGGTTTTAAATTAAGATTGTGTGAGGTTATTTCGTTGATCTGTAATAAGTTCTGACCTGTGCAAAGCGCCACGGGCTGCTCACTGTTTTCAGGGCAGCCAGTCAGCCAACACGGTTGCTGCTCTTTGGAACAAGAACCTTGGTCAGCAGCCCCATTTTTTGGAAGACCCATTTTGAGATTGGTTCGCCTGCTGGCAAGTTAATGCAAATGCCAATCTCTCCGACTGGAAGTCCTCACTTGCATAAACATATATGAAAAGGGTGTGTGGGGGGGGATCCATTTGAGGGAGGGTAGCAGTACGAGCGCAGTGCCTGCTACGGCGGGTTTGCTTTCTGCCGAGTTGCTGAGATGGGCCCAGGGGTGGGGGGTGGGGGCCTTGTTTGAGCTGCAAGAACAAAAACAAGGCATTGGCATCAAGGCTTAGGACCTGAATTCAGTGCTAGGGAACTTGAAGCAATCATGAAAGCAAGAACATCTTCAAGTCTCCCCTGAGTTGTGACAAAGGATCAAAAGAAGAGACTTCTAGGCTGGCCCGAGTCCTGGCAGTGCCCTCTTTAGCCACGAAACCCTGGGCCAGCCTTAAGTGGGGACGGCCCTGGGCACCAGTGATGTTTTTTTGGAGAGGAGGAAAGATAACCTTTCTAAGGTATCAAGATGCTAGACTTGAGTTATTGGACTTTCCTCCAACAGTATGGAATAATTTAACTTATCAGGAAGCCCTAAAGCAGACCAGAATAAAGGTGATTAATCTTGATCGGGCTAGTACTTTAGCTCAAGCAAGACGTGTATGTTCCACTCTTGCCTTGGGTATTCCTCCTCTGGAATCTCTTCCTCCATATACTAGATCCCTAAAAATACCTAATTATAGACGTGTTTTCACTCTTGCTAGGCTTAACTGTTTCCCACTGCTGAGTTAACAGGTCGCTTTTCTAAAATCCCATACTCGGATCGCTTATGTAACTTTGAGGCTGGAGCTGTGGAAATACTCGGCCATCTTCTATTATTATGTCATCAGTGGTCGACTCCTAGATCGATTAGGATCACTCCAGTTCTTACCAAACACCGATTACCTACTGAACTCTGTGTGGCCCCCTATCTCTTGGCAGATACTAATCCTGAAACCACTTCTTCTGTTACTAAATTTTTAATGATAGTTTTATCTGTAAAGTGACAAAAATCTCGCTTGACCCAACTGTAACAAAATTTGGTAGGCACCCAGTTATTATGATTTAAATGAATATTTAAATAAATTATGGTTTTATTAATGACTTCTGTTTTAACATTTTAGATCTTTTAGATTTGATTACTTCGACTTGTAAACTTTTATTGTAAAGTTCGTATTATGAGGCTAATGTTGTATATTCATCTTTTATAAATTGAGCTTAAGACCTTTGGTCATAGAAGCTAATGAACATAAGTAAGATAACCTTTCTAGGTGTCTGGCCAGGGGCAGAGCCTGCTACTTCCTTACAGCCCATCCTGGCAGGGAAACACGCCCTCTTCCATTGTGGACCCTCTTCCCTTCTCTTCCATTTCCGAGCCACTTCAGTCTGGGCTAGGAGCTGTAGGGCAAGGAAGGTCATGTCAGTTCCCAGGCCTCTGGTTGCCCAGGGCCCTAAAAAGACTGGACTCTGTCCCTCGTTGATAATTTGACCCTGACTCCACACTTGATTCTAGACAATGATGTATGTGTGTGTGTGTGGGAAGGTTCTGAAACACAGGGCAGCATTTCTCCAGCCTTCCAGTCTTCAGTTCACAGAACCCAAGCTGCCACGGACCGGGTCTCCTCCTTTTGTGACGTTAGAAAACAGTTCTGCGGGGCCCACAAAACAGAGCTGTTCCGCCAGGCCTTTGGTTGAGGCGGTGGACGTGGCCTCCCCTGCAAAGCAGCCTCTACTGAAATTGCCCACGATTCCCAACTATCCAGCTGTTGGAGCTCATACAGAAAGACATGTCACCATTTTTAGTTAATCAACACTTTAAATTTAAATGTTTTCATATCTGACAGGTGATTGTATTGTACGTGAAACTTCGAGGTTACTCGCCCTGAGCCCGCATGCAGAAAGGGCAGGATACAAATGCAATAAATAAATAAGATAAGAAGGATAGGTGGGAAAGATATTTGCTGAGCAGGCCTGTTTTCTTTCTCAGGATATTTCCTGCAGGACTTCATCGATATGATGTGTAACCAGACGTTTTACCAGTGCTGGGAGCTACTGTTCCATCACTCAGTGGTGAGGTTCTTTTGGGGAGGGGTGGTGGTTCTCAGGTGGGAGATTAGTTAGAAAACAGAGGGAGTCTCCGTGGCTGAGAATGAGGAGAGGACCTGGCAGAACGCATGCCTCTCTTTTTGTGTGGCCACTGGTTCAAGTCTGCCGGAGTCAGAGTGTTTGCTCCCTTCCCGCTCTTCTGTAGGACCTGGAGAGCACGTACATTGGCAAGAGACTGTAAAAAAAAGCATGCCAGGGAGCTGGGCACATTCCCATCAGACTGGCCAAAGTCTGCCAGGAGGAAATGCCAAGAAGGGAAGTAGGAAATCACAAGGGGTAGTAAAAGCCACAGCCCATTTGTATGACCAAAGACAGTGGCTGTGATTCTGCACTTGGATGCATACCCTATGTGCATATGCTCTGTATGTTTACTGCTAAGAGCAGGGGTGTTGAACTCCATTTGTTATGAGGGCCAGATCTGACATAAATGAGACCTTGTTGGGCCGGGCCATGTGTGTCATAAAAATGTAATGCCGGTAGCGGAGATACAAACTTTATGAAGGACACAAACACAATTAAAGATTTTTTTTTTACTTAAAATAAAAACATGCTTGAAACATTAGCACTCTTGTAATATTTTGTTTATTTAACAGTGCCTGATAACTGACACCTCTTGCTCTGAGTTATTGCATCAAAATGTCTGTTCTGTTGCAATCTTGAGTATGCTGTTCAAGTGTGTAACTGTAAGCTGCAAACCTACTTTTGATTTATTGACATTCACTACAGAAATCTCAGAGTTCTGAGCCTAGGACCCCAGGGGGAAACATGAAACCGCTGGGCATTGCAAGCTTTTGTACATAGATTGTGTGCTGGTCAAGAACATGAGACGGCAGCATGACACAGACTGAGGGCTATGTGTTTGTCTACAAAACTAGTCTTCCTCAGTGGTCAGTATCCGCCTACTGTCTGGGAAGTCAAAATCCCCAAAGGAATTGTGCTGGGTTAACTTGTTCTGGACACACAGTCTCAGCCTACTCCAGCTCACTGGCTTGTTATTCCTCATTTAAATAGTTCACATGGCTTTCCTACTGAGAAAGATTGGATCATGAAGGCATGGATACAGTGAAAAGGGGGAGGGAACCCGGTTGCACCCAGGAGAGCTACAGCATAAGCCCAACAAAACACACACTGTAGCAAGGCACACAGAAGCTTATACCTTGGATAAAACTCCGTTGGTCCTAAAGGTGCTGCTTTGTATTTCTCCTCTGCAGTTGAGGCAGCCATGCAAAGCAAGCTCTCCTTCCTTCGGGGGGTGGGGAGCCTTAGCCAATGGAAGGGAAGAAAGGCTTGCTTTTCTTTCCTGTGCGATTGAGGCAGCCTGGACAGGAAGCAAGCTTTGACTCATTTCCTCCCTCCGTCAGGAAGGGGGAGGAGCCTCAGCCAGAGCAGGGAACAGAAGCTTGCCTATCTCGCTCTCCTTAGCGATTGAGAGAATCTGGCAAAGCAAGTTACAGCGCAGCAGCAGCGGAACTGAAAGAAGAAGCAGGAGACAGCCAGTTCCACTGTGGGCCTGACAGAAGCCCTCTGGAGACCTGATCCGGCCTGCGGGCTGCATGTTTGACACTCCTGGCTTAGAGGGTGTGCTGATTTCTTAGAGGGTGGCTCTTCGGCTTGGAAATGGAGATGAATACTGCAACCTAGAGTCGAATTCGACTGGTTTTCAAGCAAGGGAAACCTTTAAGCCGTTAGGAGGGGCCCCTCAGGGCCCAGATGCATATGCAGCGCTGAATTTGGAATGGGTGGCTGGTAGGATCAATGGATGGCAGCAAGTTAGCATGTAAATACAAGAGTTAACAAAGAGATGTGAAGGATATTGGAGTCCAGCAGCACCCCAAACCCCCCCCCCCCCAAGCTCAATCCTGTGGACATGCGAGAACAGACACTCAGCACATGCACACTTGTTCACATATATTTAAACAGTTTTCCTCAAAGATTACATGCAGGTGGGGGGATTAGTTGCCAGGAAGAACTAATTAGAGTCAAGATGTAACTGAGCAATAAATATAGCTAAGATTGAAATAACACAGATAGTGGGACATGTAAATAGCAGCAAGTTGGCATGCAGATGTTAGGAGTTAAGAGTAAAATATCTTTTTAAATTTTCTATCAAAAAAGTCATAAAGAACAAGAAGGGGGGGGGAATCAAAATCCAGCAACTAAATAATTATGGTGACCCCTCATGAGGTTGCCTCAAGGCAAGAAACAAACAGAAGTGGTTTGCCATTGCCTGCCTCTGCATAGCAACTTTGGACTTCCTTGGTGGTCTCCCATCCGAATACTAACCAAGACAGACCTTTCTTAGCTTCAGAGTTTGGGGAGAGATCTATGCACAGGTTTCCGTAAACGGTTTCTAAATATTTAAAAACCAGTCCATAGGCAGCTGTCGTCTGTATGCCATGTGTCCAAATATTGATACAGTTCTAAGGTCCTCTCCAATGTTGTCATACAAGTCTTTTAGCTGTAGTCAGAGTACGGAGTGTCCATTTTTGTTAACCACTGGTCAGCCTCCAAGAGATGGGCAGATAGTTTAAAAGTACATAACGATCCTCAAAAAACAGTGAATATAACAAGAAGACGTGTTGTGGGGAACCCCCCCCCGCCACAGTTGCATGGATCTTTTCAGCCTTTATGTTTGGACACAGGCCAAAGTGCCTTCACGTCCCCACTGATTCCACCTTTGGCCTCTGTCCCTAAGGTTTGGGCTGCAAGGAAGTGGTGTGGCGGGATGGGGGATATTGTTCAACTCTGGTCGAGACCAGGACTTCACCTCTATTGAAAAGGTGGTCAGCTGCCCTGCCACTTCATAGGTGATACTCCTCAAGGGAAAAGCCCAGCAGGGGCTGAAAGATTCCGCTGAAAGACCGGGAAGTGCTCAAAGCAGTTCCCACCATGCTCACTGTTTGTTGCTGCCAGCAGTCTGTCTTCAAGGACTGTAGCCCCCGGGGCTTGACTAACCTCCTGCCCTCTCTTTCAGGTGATTGTCTGTTTTGGCATCGCCTTCGTGGTCCGCCGCTATGTCGGTTTCGCTATGGTGGCCCTGCTGGTGGAGATCAACTCTGTCTTCCTGCACCTGCGAACCATCCTGCTCATGGCTGGCTTGTCGCACACGACTTCCTACCGCGCCACCAGCCTAGTCAACCTGGGCACCTATATGGTGTTCCGCATCAGCACCCTCGCCTGGATGAACCGCTGGCTTGTTCTCAACCGGGAGAACATCCCACCGGCCACCTATGTGGTGGGCGTCATGGGCATGGCCATCATGACCCTGATGAACATCGTGCTCTTCTACCGTCTGCTGCGCAGCGACTGCCTCAGGTCCAGGCAGTATGACAAGGAGTAGTGATGCTGCTTAGCTTCCTCTAAGAACTGGGTGTAGGCCAGGGAGGGGGAGAGAGAGACAGATCGGTTGAAGGAATAAGAAGGACCTTCATAAACCTGTCTTCCAGGCTGCGACTGCCTTTAGCCTTTCTCGCTGGATTATGAAAAAGCGGGAGCTGCCTCAAGGCAGGGGAAAAGTGCAAAGATGTTTCCAGAGATCCTGTGTGTGTGCGTGTGTATGTTCTGGTTGTGGCACTCTGTAGCTGTAAAATAAGGAGCCTGAGGATGGTGGGCACTGCAAAGGGGACAGGGTGTGATGCAGTGTCCCCCACAATGCAGGTGCTTATTGATGTGTGTCTTCACCCTGCACAACTGCGTTTTGACCTGTGCTTTTGGCATTGCCACATTCTCCCCCACCCCCTACTGCTCAGGGCAGTGTGGACTTCTTGTGCAAAGGGAGTGCTTCTTTAGCAAAATATTGGTCCAACACTGGCCTTTGCACTCAGGCTGGTAACGGAGACCGTGGAAAGCCCTGAACAAATGGAAGGAGCTCAGACTTCATGTTCCTTATCCATCTTGCCTGTTCTCCAGTGTTCTGTCCTGGCTGTGTATTATAGTCTGTTCTGTAGAGCCTGAACACAGGATGGTCCTGTCTCTGGGGAATGGATGGACTTTAAAGTGGTCTGCCCTTTTGTTGCTGTGCCATGTCATTCCTCTCAACCTCTTTGAAACTAACATTCTCTGGGGTGCATTTGCCCCTGGACTGGCAGACAAGTCTTTTGCCCAGAGTTGGAGTGGGGAAGTTTCTTTGAGGGGCTTGGCCAGATGCAGCAAGAGCTTGGAAGCCCCTTGTAGTCCCATGAGGGATGGGAGAGGACCCGTTCACACTTGACCCTTTGGAGTTTCCCCTCACATTCGTACATAGAAAAACTTAAATACCATCACCACTTAGGAAAGGTCCCTTGGAGACAGTAGCCATGGCTAAGATGCTGCTGATGGCCCTACTTTGGAGGAAGTGGAGATCAAGGTTTCCAAATGAAGCCCATGTCAGTTGGCAATTCCTTGCTTACCCACTGGTCCCTTCATTATACTAGGTACTGTGAAGACTCGTGTCCTCAGCCTGGGAAACGCCACATGGCTCTGAGGCTCAGGCTGCTCCAGTGCTGTGCAGATTTTATGGAAAATGCATTTTCATGATGCCTTGGTTTTATAACAAGCTGTCTGATTGTGCTTGCACAAAGTAATAATGATAAAGAAAATTCATGTTGATGCTTGACCCTACCTGGATGTGCCACAAGCTAGGGGAAAAAATCTCCAGTTGCGTGGGGAACGAGTCTCAATGACCGGGGTGTATATAACCATAAAGAAGGGTTGATCATCAACCAAGGAGCCAGTATAACCACATGTAATTCTAGGACAGATACCGAAAAGTGTGAAGCTGGTATTAAACCTGAAGAGGTGAGATACCCTCCCCCATCCCATCTTTCCCTGTATATCATTTAAGGACATTGACACAAATTATCCTCAAACTCCTTTTAGTCAGGAAGGCATTGCTTGTGGATATGAGGGTAGAAAAACACTTAAATATATGCTTTAAAAAAATGAAATTTATGTCTTGCTTTTCTTCTCAATGGGGACCTAAGGCAACTTATCACATTGTTCTGCACTCCTCCACCTTATTACAACAGTCACTCTGAGAGAGTGTGATGAGTCCATGGCCACCTGGCAAGGTTCAATGGCACTTCAGGATTTCGAATATGGTGGTCCCAGGTCCTAGTCCAAAACTACCAGAAGAGAGAAATGCGTAAACCATTTAAGTGGCACATATGGGAGAAACAACTGGCCAGTGGGAAAAACAACTTAGTGAGATCAACGATGATTGAAGTGCATTCTAAGGAAACAAGTACAAAAGTCTCCCTGTGTTTATGCATGCTGCCCTCCTCTTTCAAAAATCTTTGGGTGGTGGTTTTGTGGCTTTCCCTCCTGCACTTTGGGAAATGGTTCAGCACAGTTCTTCCAGCATGGGGAAAGTGTGCTTGACAGTTCTGATTCCCAAGTCTGTGGCCTGGTTTACATGTGCAGGGCAATACAATGGTAGTACAAACTGCACCACTAAAAATGCAGGTGGGGTTCACAATTTCAAAGGCTCTCACATTAAAATTCCCCGCAAAGAAGAAATTCCTGAGTTATGTACTGCAGAAGGAATGCATTGTTAAAAATCATTTTGTCAGTTTCAATAGATTAGGTCAGGATCTAGCCAATGAGTTCATCATAGAGTCATACTCTATTTGTAGGAAAGTGCACCTCAAGCAGCAGCTTTTCTGACCAGCAGTATCCCCACCTTATCCAGATTCAGCTTATTCTTCCTCTTATCTAGGTCATGCTGCTACTCCTTCCTTCCTGTGCCTGTGCTCCAGAACATGAGAGTCTGAGGGTCAAATAGGGTTGCCTGTCTCCAGATGGTAGCAGCATATCTTATTACAATTAATCTTCAGGTGACAGAAATCAGTTCACCTGGAGAAAACGGCCACTTTGGAAAGTGGTGTCTATGGCGTTATACCCCATTTGAAGTTCCTCCCCAAACCCCGCCCTCCTCAGGTTCCACCCCCAAATCTCCAGGTATTTCTCAACATGGAGCTGGCCAAATTAGTGTCAAATCTGAAGGCTGGTTGAACCTTAAGAACAGCATACCGAGGAAGGAGTAGTTGAAAAGCACCGTCTGGGGGAAAAAACACTCTGCAGATGTAGAAAACAGGAGAGTCCAGTATCACCTTAAAAGACGAACAAAATTTGTGGCAGGGTATGAGCTTTCGTGAGTCACCACTCACTTCTTCAGATACTCTGCAGATGCTCAGAGACACTCTTTATTTGAGATCACATCGCAATCGCATCTTTCAGGAATTGCAAACAGATTCCGGGGCTGAACTCTGATGCTCCCTCCAGGCTGCGGCAGAAGAACAGGAGATGTCTTAAAGGGAAGGAGCCAGCTTTTGTCACCGGAAACATTTCTTAACTCGTCGCAAAACGCGTCCCTCAGTTTCGAGAGCATCGTAGACGGGGAACAGGAATGCGAAATACAAATTTAAAAATAAGTAACGCACTTTTTCTTTTTTACCCGGAACTAATAAAAAGCCTTCCGGCGCTCAGATGACGATAGAGGCGGGACAAAAACTAAGCCCGCCGCTATTGTGGCCGATTAGCCAATTACCATTCCTTATCTCGTATCATTGGCAGTGGATTGGTCAGTCCCTCGCTCTCTCCGCTCGTCCGCATCCGGGTGCCCGCGCTTGCGCAGTGGCCGCGATGTGCGTCTAGAGTGGCGGAGGTACCGCCATTGGAGCTTTTCTGCGGCGGATGACTGCAGTCTGAGGGCGAGGAAAAGCGGGCGGCTGAGGGACAGGTATGGGCGGGGGGATGGATTAAGGCCTCCCGCAAACACCGAAGGTCCGAAGCTTGGCCTTTCCCCTTTGGTCTCTGTCGTGCTTTTACTCGGCTTTCCGCCGCCTGGGCCTGCGACGCCGCTCACCGACTTTTGGGGACCGAGCGGACAGGCGGTGGAGGCAGGAGTCGGCTGTTACTTCGTGACCAAAGCAAAACTAACGGGGAGAAAAGAGTCTCTTTCTGCCGCTTGCTTCCCGTGCATTGTGTGTGTGGGGGAGGCGTTCCCAACCGCGACTGGTAGTTGGCGATGTTCGCATGTGCGAACCAGCTGAAATGAATCGCCTTCTTTAAATACGAAAGCAGTCAGTTACCTAACACGCTTGTGTTATGCGTATTGTTGAGGAGGTCGAGTGTGGGCTTCTTCATAGTAGACTAAGAAAGGGAGGGAGCTGAACTTGTTTATTGACATTATTTATAATTTCCTTTTTCTGTCTGGGACTGAAGGCGGAATCCCCAGAAAAGTCAATGCAGTCAATAGGGTGGGACGTCTAATATGCGGTGCAATAGGATCTGCCTTGTAGAAATTTAGAAACCAACCAGAGGTGAAATGCAGCAGAAGTATTAGCATGACTCAGGAAACGAATGCAGAAGTTACATAGCAGAAACGTATTTAGAGCAGCAGATAGTACAAGCTGTACGGAGCAGTATAGATTGTGGTCCCTAACCCTTTACCGTAGTGCAGCCCTATTTCCTGTGCAAACAACTATCTTAATTATTCAGTTCTGCATCATTAGGGAGGCCGTTCCACAAGTTGGGGGCCACAGCAAAGAATGCATGTGTATGAGCAGTTGTTCATTTACATATTTGCAGGTTGGCACCTGCAGGAGGCCCTGCTCAGATGAGCAAAGCTGTTATGGCAGAGCGCAGAAAGAGAAACAGTCCCACAGATATGAGAGACCAAGCCCATGAAGGGCTTTGCATGTGATAAGCTAATACCTTAAATTGAGCCTGGTAACTGGTGGTCAAACAGTGGAGTGACTGCAGAATGGGAATAATATGCATGCTTCGCCTAGTACCTCATAATAACTGAGCTGTGTCACTTGTACCAACTGGAGTTTCTCAAATGATTTTGAGGGGAGACATATGTAGAATCCATTACAATAGTCTAGTGTTGATGTTACTGTGGTGTGGATTGAGGTTGCCAAATTGCCTGCATTAAGATAGGGGGGGCTTTCTTCTGGGCTAGCCTGAGTTAGAAGAAGGTACTTTTTTGCAGCTCCATTGTTTCTTTGATAATAATGTTGGGTCCAGTATAGCTCCATGGTTGTTAACTAAGTCAGCAGGGGTCAGGGGAACCCTACTAAAAAGGGGGAGTATAATGTCTTTCAAGTTCTCCACCTTCGCAACCAATATTACCTCTGGCTTTTCAGGGTTTAGTTTCAGTTTATTCACTCATAGTTATTTAACCACAGCAATCAGGTAGTGATTCAAGTCCTCTACCACATCACCAGGAGAGATTTGGTAAGGATATAAATAGCTGAGTATCATCTGCATGTTTATGAAAACCAACCTCGTGTCGAAACTATGAATGGTTTGGTTTAAGGTCTTTACGTAGAGATTGAAGAGTGTGGAGTACAGGAG